AACAACTCATTGTGTTAGTCATACAAAATGCAGAATAATACACAGCAGAAGCAACACCTGGCAACTGTGTACATGAGTGGACGCCTCGGCATATATCAAAAACATTAATCATAAAGCTCTGAACATGATTTTGATGATATACTTGTGAATAACATTACCTTTTTTGTTAATAACCTACCAATGTGTAATGATGGAAAATGTGCTACTGCCTGCCTCTTTGATAACTTGAGGTTCCGATGCTGTTGCATTCGTGCTGCTCGTGCCTATAGCTGATAACGAAGAATTTCTCGTAATTCAGAATTGAATTACGAATTACGAATTGAATTTTCGTAATTCAGAATTGAATTACGCAGAATTTCTCAAGTATCACATACTACTTAAAGCGTAGAATAGCGAACTTTAATAATTGATTCATTAATATGAAATGATTTTTGAAAAATTCCATTCAAACTTGGCAGATGCAGAATACCAACTCCAGGGTTTTTGCTCATCAAGTTTGATTAACTCATTAGATGTAGTGCTTCTGATCCATTAATTAATTTAATTCCATTATTTGCACACTTTGCTGATGACATAGAATATCATGAAGCTCTTCAAATATATAATATTAGATAAAATTTCCATACAAATAAATTTTCCTGTCTATATGAAATTCGACCAGCAAGCAGAGCTGCTGCAATGAATGGCGTTCTGTGCGCGTTTTTCGTAGCGTGTGTTGAGAATTACGGAGACACCAAACGGCTGAAGTTCGGGTCATTACTGCGGCGTGAAGCGGCGATAGGTATGGTGGCGATACGCGAGGGATGGTGGCGATACGCGAGGTATGGTGGCGATACGCGAGGTATGGTGGCGATACGCGAGGTATGGTGGCGATACGCGAGGGATGGTGGCGATACGCGAGGTATGGTGGCGATACGCGAGGGATGGTGGCGACACGCGAGGGATGGTGGCGATACGCGAGGGTTGGTGGCGATACGCGAGGGATGGTGGCGATAAGAGAGGTATGGTGGCGATACGCGAGGGATGGTGGCGATAGGAGAGGAAAGTGACGATACGTGAGTAGTGTTGGTGACACTTTAAAGATGGTGCATGATACCAGTGAGATGTTGCAAAACAAAATCGAAAACTACAAAAGAAAAAGAAGAGGTTTTTTGAGAGGATGGGTTGGTTTGGATATAACCAAAAAAATATATGTTATACAAGGTTGCGTTTATCAATTGAAAGTACAATAGAAAAACTTATTTACCAATAATTTGAGTTATTTTATCCAATCTACTGCTGATATTGTGTAGCTGAAAAGTTGAACTATCGCTGGGCATGCAACTTGCGCGCCGCCATACGCGCATGCAAATTATGTGCGCACTGCACTGGTCGCTTCCGAGGCTCCTGGCAGTTTAAATTATGCATTGGTTCCACAACTTTCGTATCACTGCCAACGAACAAGGGTGGAAAAATGTAGTACTTCTCTGTCTCGCAATAGCGCTGAATTGTGCCAGCACCAGACCAGCACTGAGGTATACTCTTGAGAGTGTCGGGGTTCCAGTCTTCGGAAAGTTGTTCAAGTCATTTAAAGTTGTGTGATGAACTTGTGCACAATGCTGAATGCTAACGGCTCAGCTGCCTTTATTGGTATTGAGAGAAAGGTGTGTGCAGAATCGAATTCAATCAAATTTGTATAAAGGTAACTGAAATTAATGGGATCCTTACGGTAACTTAGCTTCTCCGATAATCATCAAAAAGGTGCATATACAACGAAAAGCCAGATCAGATAAAATAATCCTTATAGAAGGCGATAACTTCGCACAAAAGTAATCCAAGTTGGATGTCAGACAATCAGAAAATATTTCACATGCAACGCATTTTTTTCAATCCATTTAAATTAATATACAAAACCAAATATTTCAATTGTTCACTGACAATTGCGACCATAAAAGGCCTGTCAATCTCCATAAGAGTCTTTCAGAACCTGCCACTAATCCCAAACAACAGTTTTGAGTCCCAAATTCGTAGTTTTGTCTTTCATTTAGCTTCACCGCCACGTACGTCTACCAGGCAGATAACGTTTGGTAAAATGAATAAACTTAATAAACGTAATTTCAGAGTTAAAAATAAACGTTTACTGAACTGGAGATGTCTGATTATTTTTTAATGTTAATAAACATGCATGCTAATGAATCAGTGAATACATCAGTAGTTATTCTGCTGTAAAACCTCAACTGCCACTGATCGATTTCTCTTATTAAATGAAACCGTTGATATGGCAGTTAAAATATGATATCTTTGCATCAATACGTTAATATGACAATTAAAATATGACGTTATTATATTAAACAATTATTATGAAAGTCAAAATATGACTTTTGTGTATTAAACCGATATTATGAGAGTCAAAATATGACTTTAGTATATTAAACCATTATTATGAGAGTCACAATATGACGTTTTTTGACGACGGGCTATTGCATTATATATGAACTGATAGTGCGCTACTATGTTATTATAAAGCATATGATTCTATGTAGATAATTGGATAATAACACGTTATTTTGTTGGTTCTAATTAAGGAGGCAAATAATGGAGTTTTGAATTTTATAGGAAAGCGTGTCGATGCGAGATTACATCATCTATGTAATTGTTGTTTGTAATTAGAATATTGTAATTACTATTGATTTTTAATCTTCTTGAACTGATGGTTGAACTGATTAATTAATTGGCATGAGATTGGCGGCGATAAATTGGATTGGTTTCCGGTTCATCGTGAAGTGAATTTGGTTTCAATTTGTTCGCCTTCCGCACAACGCATCGAAGCTTTGATAATTATTAATTAAATCTGTCAAATATGCATCGCCTGGCAAGTATTTATTTATGTCTCTGTGTCTTTCAGTCTTCATATTTTATGAGTTTGACAGTAAACTGCCCTGTTCATTCTTCTTTCTGAATCATGAACAACCTAATGCATGAAATACATTTTCATATTCTATCTTATTATATATTAGACCACCTGCTGGAAATTAAAGTTCCAGGTATCAGCGTTCATCTAAAACGATTTAAAGGCTTCTTCTTAATTGCTTTTATTTAATGGCAGGAAATCCCTGAGCGATCACAAGCGTTTGATCTTCTTCAACATCACAGAGACTTTTGCCGACAGGTATCGTCACCGGTAAACTATACCTAACAAAATTTAGAGTCGCCCCAGCTTCTGGTAATCCAAAGCAGAAAGGTAGACGCGAATGGCGTTGGCATAGGGTTAAATATCAGGGACAAATGAAATACCATTTGCATACCTGCTTAGGGTAACTGCAGTTACCTGAAGTTTAGGTACGAAAAACGTAGGCAACGAGTTATGTATCAGCAACCAATGAAATACCCATTGCATACGTGCTTAGGGTACCCGCTGTTACTAGGAATTTAGGTACGAATAACATTGGCAACGGGTTGAGTATCAAGAAACAAAGAAATACCCTGCGCATACTTGTTCCTGGTAACGGCCGTTACTGGGAATTTAGGTACGTGACATGGGTGAAAGTATCAGTGAATAAAGAAACTTCTTCTGTCTACTAACGGCAATAATTATTGTACTTTCCACCCCCACGAGACGCTAACTTCATTGGCGATATTGTATACGATACGCAATAAAAAATAAATAAATTGTTGTGCCTGTAACGTGTTTGATTTACTTTAGCGCATATATGACGGTTTTATGATAAATTTAGTTTTGCATAAATATTTTCTATTGAATCTAAGCACGATAAACTCAAATTTATGCGTTCCTCGACCAGCGAAATATTCGTGTATGACTCAGAGGGTCATACACGAGTGAGTGAGTCGTTGTTAAATTAACAATTAACTTTTCGCTTTGTGTAGTTCACGCTGACCAAGCTTTACCCCGCCAAAGAGTGTAGAAAGTGCGTCACTATTTACGCAACATGACCAATTAATTTTTATAAATAACATGTAAACTTTATGTACAATTTGAGTGCACGTTCCCATCATATAGAAGAGCGGCAAGTCTCAGATTTCTGGTCCTGGATCTAGTTTCAACGCTTGCAGGCCGTAACAAGATATCATTCAGCTCAGAAATACTTTGTTGTGGAAATGATAATGTGTAATTGTTTGGACAATATTGCACATTTTTTTCTGAAAAAAGATGATTGTTTAACAGATTCATGTGCTGACCACTTAATCTAATTTTTCGCCTCTCAAGCAGCTTTTATTTAACATTTTCCAACTGTTCCCTTTTGAAAAGCTGTGTTGAATTGGAAATTTAATTGCAAATTGAACAATTTAAGATTAATAATTTACTCTAATAATTACATAGGTGTAAATTTTTGAGTTATTCATAATCAATGTTCGGCTCAGGCTCCCACAGCTTTTGTTTAACATTTCCCGAATATTTCCTTTTGAAAAGCTAAGTGTTGAATTGGAAATTTAATTGCAAATTGAACAATTTAAGATTAATAATTCACTGCAATAATTAGGGGCACATTTTTTAGTTATTTATGATCAATTTTCAGCTCAGCATCGAGTTTCCTCTTGAATATAATAACGCTTGCTACATTTCAATAGTTTCCTCTTGAATATAATAACGCTTGCTACATTTCAATAGTTTCCTCTTGAATATAATAACGCTTGCTACATTTCAATAGTTCGAAGTGCTCAGGGTACGGGGAAGGGCATCGCTGGTGGTGGATGGCAGCCGTCAATTTCATGTCAATTATCATACGCTGTCTTGGTGGCGGGGCAGCGGGTTTAGACATTTACGTGGTGCTAGAATTAATATTATACAAATGCTGGTTTGTATGTTTATAATAAACTTATGTGAATTTTGTTTACACAAGCTAAAGCTTTCTTTTAATCTTTGCCTAATAATTCACCAGCTAAATAAATTCTGACGGTAATATAAGATGACAAGACTGCGATTTTGGAGTTGAAGCTCAAACGGTGGGATGAGCATGAATTTTGATGTACACATTTTTAATTAACTGTTAAATGAAACAAAATTTATTTTGGCCATTGTATATGCTTCGATGATTGAGTAATGAATGACGCTTGACTTATCCAGTGAAATTTATATCTCTGTCCGAAGCACTCGACGGAACTAACCCCCTATCAAGGCTGTGCAGGAGTCAGCGAGGACCCACTAAAGTGAGTCACGGCTAAGTCAGTACTCAATATGACAAAAAAAAAAAAACATTGCGCGGGTCTAAAATTAAATGCTTGAATAATTATCTTTTAATTTCGTTTTTCTGAGCACATTTTCTTGCCAATTTCAGCAAGAGATATATACAAAAATTAACCCTGTTTGATGCTCATTCCATTGTTCGCTTTTTCGCCTAAATAAACTTAAAATTACCCTTAAAATCTTATGATGCCACCAGTTATTATAAGAGGCAACGTTAGATCAGTTGAGAATATACTTATTGTTAAATATACTGAAATATACTTATAAAAATATACTTATTGTTAATAATTTTGTGGGGTTAGGTTAGGTCTTCATCCTTCATCATGTTGCTCGCTTCGTCAGCACTTGACAACGCCTTCTTGGCAGGCTGTCAACGAAATATCGCTTGAAATTCACCATTGGAACGTCTATCTATTGATCACAACGTCTGTAGCTGGTTATAGTCTAGATCAATGCGTCTATATTGAATCGTTCTGAACATCTTTAGTGGAGAAAAAATGGCCTCAACTATGATAGACTAAATTAGAATCACTTCTTATGAACCTCGATGTAGGATTTGAAACTTGACCAAGGTTTTAACTTTGACGCATTTGTGATTTTTTGCGGCATAAAATGTGCGATTAAGTATTCATTACGGTCGAAAGTTTTAAAGTTGCATGCCATTATGAACTGGTTAACAGTGGATATATATCATTGAAGTCACTGGAGTTTGAATCTTACATAAATTCTTCCATTGAGTATCCAAACATTTCGAAGTCTATGAGGTACGTTTCGTAGAGATCCTTCACCAGCTCACGAGGAAGTTCCTGCCGAAATTAAATTCAAGAATAGAGTAAGTAAACTGTGATGATTAAATATAGAAGGAGCTGGAAATATATCAATGCATCGATCGTGAATGAAAATCTGTACACGTTTGTTCATATTTTCTTATCACTCTTACTTTGATTATAATTCAATATATTAATTAAAACAACAAAAATGATACATAGAATAATTGAAAGCAAAAGATACGAGCATTCCTCCTGAGGTACTCGGGGCTTATTTGAGCGACTCTTACCTTGAAATATTGCACGGCCGTGGCAGTGGCGTTCGAAATGTTCAAGTGAATATCGTTTCTTGATTTGAAGTCCAAAGCCTGTTGTACATACCTGCAAACAATATCATTGCACACAATAATGATATTTTAAAAATCAGAAGAAAACCATACGTTCGATATATTTTTGGGATTATTAAAACAAATGATAGAATAAATCAATCGCGGGCTCATCAAAATTTCGATAGTAGCATTCGTAACTTTTTTTTTTTGTATTTATCAACTTGTACCCATAAAGGGATGAAATTAGAAAACGATGGTAGACTTTGATAGTTTATAAGAGTTCATTTAATAACCACAGAATGCATTTAATTAGAATTCTCATGCATTCTCCGTTCTAATCGAACTTTTAAAAAAGTTAAAAAAACATATTACATGCACACTGACCTCATATCTTCGTCCCACGTCTCCACCTTAATAACATATTTGTACTGAACATTACACGGCACACACGACACATAGTACGCGCGCCAGTGGCCGTCAATTGCGAGGTAAGGGAAGCTCGGGCGCCGGCGCGTCTCTTGCACCACGAACTCGGCAAATGTTTTGAAGGAAATTCCTGAATTTTCTTCATCGAATAAATATTGCATCTCAGGGCTGATCCTGCACACACAATAAAATTATATATTTGGGATCGTGTTCATATAACCCGAATGAATAATTTCTGGTCTTACACAATAAAAAGTACATATATGAGATCTTATAGTCACATAACCCGAATGAATAATTTCTAGCCTTTTAATGAAGAATTGTATTTTTGGTTTAAATTCTGTTTAGTAAAAAAAAAGTATTACTGAGATTGAAACATGATTCATCAATTCAATTAAATGAACTGTTTAAAGAATTTCCGCAAAGCCTGACTAAAAATTTAGACTGATAATTTCGATTACTAACGAATGGAATGCTTTCTTTAGCTCAAAGTAAGATTAGAAAAGAACCATTACATGACCTTCGTGTTTGCAAGTGAGGATTTTTAATAGTCATTAAAAACAATCATCTAGATCTAACACGGATAGGAAATTAGTACATTTTATTCCTGTGATATTTTTATACATGATCCATTAAATGTGAAAAACCAGCAAGTAAATGTCGAAATTGACGTTGCATAGGCATGTAACATAAACAATAGAATTTTTTAGAAAACCGTGGCTAACCTGAAGTATTTTTTGTTTTCTCTTTGAAATGAAGCTATAAAATGAAACCGAATAGTATATATAGTATATATTAATGTAAACCTTTAGTAGTTCTCACTTGTCTCGGTCGCAGAACTCAATTTTATCTCGGTAGGCCGACACGAGGCGAGTGAAGGGATGTCGAACTACCAGCACCGTGCGAAAAATTTCTAGAAGGTCTTGAGCAAACCTGCAGACCAAGAAATTATCTTACAACTAGCAAAAGATAAGGCGTGAACAGCAGACACAAACTCTTATGTCGGCATGACTCACTTAACATCACTCGCTCAGCTTCACAACATAATGTCATGTCTGCATGGCTCACTGGTCATCACTCGCTCAGCTTCACAACATAATGTCATGTCTGCATGACTTACTGGTCATCACGTGCTCAGCTTCACAACATAATGTCATGTCTGCATGACTTACTGGTCATCACTTGCTCAGCTTCACAACATAATGTCATGTCTGCATGACTTACTGGTCATCACTTGCTCAGCTTCACTACGACATAATGTCATGTCTGCATGACTCACTTCTGTCTGCATGACTCACTTCTGTCTGCATGACTCACTTCTGTCTGCATGACTCACTTCTGTCTGCATGACTCACTGCTTATCGTTATCACGCAGCTTCAAGACCCTGAAGCCGATGTAGTTGGTTGACCACGTATCTTTCAGCGCCTCCAGCAGGTCCGGGAACTCCTCGCTCAGGAGGTGGGCAACCATCGACGACGAACCTGCCTGGGGCACGGAAATATACTGTTTTTTTTAATAAATTCTACATATTAATTAAGCGTTCATTTGTTTCTAGGATGTTAGTACAGATAAAAACAACGTGACATTATATAATTGCTTGCTGCATCGAAAAAAATTGACGAGAAATAAATATATTATTTTAAACATCTACGTATTTACATAAGTTATAGTAATATCAGCGTTCGTTGTCGGGGAGTTAACCTCACAAGTATCAGCAAGCACACAATAAAACAAAGCGAGAAATAAGAGGAAAAGCCGCCATTATTGCAAGATGTGTGAGCATCATTTGTTCACTACGATAGCTTTGACAGTGATTATAAATTTTACCTGCACTAGTGAGTTATTTAAAAATTTTTGTGTTAATTAGTAGAGCGTGAGTGACCAATGTATGCTGGCTACATTTACGCCTCTTAACAGCCATAATAGATGAGCTACGCTTCTCTGTACTTTCTTTCAAAATGATGTAAACTTTCTATAAAATATTCCACCACAAAAAGAAGTATATTTATAAAAAAATATAACTCAGTACTCACTGCAGTGAGTGACAGAGAGCGCATTTTCTCATCGACGAAAACTTGAGGTCACGGACAGACGGACGGACAGACAGACGGACATGGCGAGCACAATAGTGCATTTTTTCCAGAAATGAGAAAATGCGCTAAAAAGGTTGATCAATTCATGATAATCGAACAAAAGTTTACCTTGAAGTTGACGCACACGACGACCTGTTTGTTCCAGAGCCACCTGTAGTTGCCCAGGGGCAGCTCAGCGGCGGGGAGGGCGGCCGCGCTGCTGTACTCGTGGCACGCCTCGGTGATTCTCAGCCGTCGCTCCTCTTGACGTTTCTATTGGCAAATGATTAAAAGACAAGTAAAAATGTTAATAGGAGTTAATAGCAATTCTATTTTACAATTGTTTTGAATAAAGAAAAAACAAAATAAATAATATTAAGCTATTGAAATAAAGCCAGGTTAAAAAGTTTTTTTGAATATCTGATATGAAGATGAATATACGTTTGTGTTTCTGAGTTCAAACGCAAAATGAGTATTAACAGATTTGCATGATCATTCGAGAACTTAGGTATTAATTATGTGTTCTCAGTAGTCTTCTTAAGAATCATATGTATAAGATATTTATCATTTTGATCACAATAATTACAATACGTACAATATCTTAGATAGCGTGAGAGTGATTCAGTCAAAAAAAGGCTTCAAAATAATCTGGTGGTAATGATTTATACGATGTATATCTCAACAATTTCTTTGCTTTGGTTAAATAGAACTCAAGCGACTTACGGCTAATAACTGTCTACGATCTGGGAATGTCAGTAAATTATGTTATAATATCGCCACCCTAGCGATGTCAAAATGTTTGTAATATTCTTATTAAATTATATTGATTGTGAGAGACACCTAACAAAATCATATCATGACAAGCAGTAGTCTCTTCTGAAATATTACCATGACTTCTTTCCGTTCGTATGACGGCTTGATTGGAAACTTTGCTCGATAAATAGGAGCGTGGATGTAATAAAAATAAACTAAATCACTACTTGAATTTTTGCAGTCCGACCCAAAATAAACCAAGGGCAACACTCAGATAAATAGTAGGTAGACTACTAGTATATAGATAAAGCTATGGAAATATATATGTTCAGATTTGAAATGCCCAGCACCATATCGAACCCGGTGGAAGTCTAGTAGCTACTTGAAGCTATCGTCAGTCATGAAAAGATCCGGTCAAATGAAACGATATTAGATCTTCTGTGAACAAGGCACGAAAAGGAAAAGAATCGGCGACAGGCCACATNTATGTTATGATATGTTATGTTATGTTATGTTAGGTCATGTTATGTTATGTTATGTTATGTTATGTTATAAATAAACTCACCTCCATTAATTGCATCCATTCTTTATTGGCGCCCCAACCGTCAAACGTGATGTAAACCTGCACACATACGCACGGCATTGATTTATCAAGAAAACCATCAATGTTCTGTTATATATCAGTCATGTCGGAAAAATTTTTAAACAATTTTAGCAATAATCGATGAATACAAGAAGTAGAACGAGAAATTATCATTAAAATTTTTGCAAAACTCAAAAACTCAAATTTTAAAATAAGAAAAGATTATATAACTTTCAAAAAAGTTCAAATAACTCACAAGCTAAAATTTTAGTATAACTCAAAAGCTTTTCCATCATCTAGAATTTACCAAAACGAATCTTATAAACGATCAAGATTAAAAAGAACAAGTCAGCGAAGCAGCGAGTCTCTTCGTTAGTTTTCGACTGCACCGCATTCCCGTAAGCTTTAGGATGGGTACTCGGGAGAATTTTTCCTTCATATTGAGTATGATTTGCAATAATTTAGATGACATGGATTCTGCAGAAAAAGACGGTACATAACATAGTGATGTCGGCGCTAAAGAGTAGGCCTGATGTGGCCTGTCGCCGAAGCTTGAACTTTTCGTGACTTGTTCATAAAAGATCTAAAATCATATCTGTTCAGTATTTTAACAGATATGATTTGCATGAGTTGGAAATCCTGCTTCGAGTTCTACACAGCTCGAACAATACTGCCACAATATTTTATACTAAATATTCTCATTATATTCAATAAGCCAGTTAAGACGATTACAATAACGATGAGGGATGGTAAAACCGGCGCGCACAATGAAATATTATACACTCGAGAGGCTATTACCATGAATGAGATGGCAGTGACGACCCACAACTTTGTGAGCTTCCAGTTACCAGTCCTTGCCATTGCGGACGAAGGAGTATTAATCCCAGCTTCATAGCAAATTTCAGAACTGTACTCGTCGTATTGATCTTAAAGAATACATCTTGAATGTTCACTGAAAATCTATTGTTCCTGTGAACGTACCCGCCTCTCGACCGACACACGCTCACTTCGACTTCTCCGGAACGACTACCGTACAAACCGTACGCTTGACCGGTCGAAAAAAAAACGTTCCGTTTCAAACCGGTTCTGAACATGAAACTCAGTTCAGCTCGTGGCAGTCTGTTTTTAAAATGGATCGGGCTTGGGCATTACAGTCAAGGGAAAATTTGCTGCTATGTTACTATCATGCTAAAAATATGTTATATATATATCAATATCACTAAATGACTGCATTCCAAGCACAATGAAAATTGCGATTATATTATGTAATATAACGATTATATAAGGACTAATGTAATATATATATATAGTAGACATTCCTTCATCACGAGACATTTCTTCCACAGTACTGAACCGATTTGAATAAAATTTTGAATATAAATTCCCAACTACCCAACGGTGATGTTTAGCTCGCAAAATTTTTTTAGATTTTGCTTTAGTTCGCGAGTTTTTTCTATTTTCCCGTCATTCGTGATTTAAACAGCAATACGTGCTTAAATTCGCAGTGAACAAGAAATTTCTTCTAAAATACTGAACAGATGTGAACGAAACTTTATTAATGAATGCCTAACCTCCCAACGGTGATGCTTAGCTCGTGAAAATGTTTGCGATTTTGTCTTCGTGTGCGAGTTATACGGCTTAACGCATACGGCTCTTGGTCAATGCAAATTTAAAAATTAACATGAGAAATGCCGTTCGTTTCTCCGTACATTCGTATAACTCGCAAACGAATAAAAAATCGAAAATATTGTCATGAGCTAAATCCCTGACGCCAGTCGTGGCGTACAATAGAGCAAGGACTATGTATCGTTTGATAAAGTGTGAGTTGTGACGCAAAATTTTAGTTTTGTCAAGTTCTGCTACTTATATAAGATTTCTGCTTTAGAATCGCGTTCTTGTCTTATTCTAACTCCCTGCTCTAGCTCTCTCTTTGTCACATTTTTTGTTATAAATTTTTATTTTTCGTTAATCTTCAAATATGTTAAATTTATCTGTTGTCATTTGCGTTTAAATCAGGTACAGCCTAGAGCTTTGCTTACTAACCAATAGGAAAGCAAGCGATTTTACGAATAGCGTCCCGTCTTTCGTTGGCGCAATTGATTGTATAATTTAGAAATAAAGATGAATAGGATCAACATCTGCCAAATACACTGTTAGAAAAATTACCATTAACGGTATTATACCGGCGTTTCAGTGGCCGGTCGGCACGTGAAAAGAAACACCGTGTCGCCGTTTTTATTCTAATTTAACACTAGAAATCCGTAAAACATATGATAAAAACGGCGAAACAGTTTATTTTCACGGGGCCACCGGCCACTAGAACGCCAGTGGGACCGTTTTTTCACCGTTTTTTCTAACAGTGTATGCGATTTAGTCTGTACATAGAAATTAACACGTTAGTCCGATTGCTTGATCTTGTAATATTATTTCATTTATTGTACTATAATGCAATTTGTTTCTATGTACCACTACGTCCTCGAGAAATACGTTCGTGGTATGCATATGTACCACTTCCGAGTCGACGTAATGTAATCATGTGCAAGGAAAATGACTGTCAGTTACTTGTTTGCAGCTCATAAAACTGTTCATCGAATTTTCTCTTTTAAAAAATTCTTGTATAAAATTTATCATTTTAAACCGATAAATGAAATCTTGTATAGACATCTTGACTAAAAGCAAATTAGAATTTTATCCCAATGCTGAGGGCATTCTCGTTGCATATCTGATAAGTTACTATTAGATATATGAATTATTGAGTGAAATATATTAGTTCATGTGAAATGCATCGTAAACAACGTGCAGGATGCGACTCACCTTCACACTCTTCTTCTTCTTTTTTGGCCGTTTTCTTGGCTTTTAAATTCTTGATAAGCTTGCAATTTAAGCAATCAAGTGATTCTAGCGGGTTCTTTACTTTGCCACTTCCGACAAGTAAACTAATAAAAATTTCAAACCAATTTCATTGTTATTTCCACTGTGCTCAGATATAAGTACTAGAAATTTTGTCTTTTAAAAGAAATACATTTTTTTCCTTTTTCAGCCCTAAGCAAGCTTTTTTCCATGTTTGCAGCTCATTTGGAATTCATTTGCCAAATAAAGTTTTTTTATTATGTTTCAATAGGACATACGTTTTTTTTTATTTTTATAATTGGTTTCTCAGATACATTCTATTTGCAATATAAGAGGTCCAGCCACATTTTGGGAAGTGACGACTCGTTCCGGTATATTTTGTATGTACCTGTTTATAAAGGAAATTAGCAAATCAAGCAAATAATAATTTATGAATTTAAATTTTTTATTAAATTTAATTTTTAATACTCAAATCTTTTGAGCAAATCACATGGCACAGTCTTTAAATGATGCTTCATGAAGCAGAATAATGCTCAGGATATTAAGAATAGTATTTATTTGACTCACTCGGAATAATGGTGCAATTAAAGACATGTTTGTGAGCCTTCTTGGTACCGCAGTAGTCTTATCGACTTGGTTTTTACACAATACAGGCCTACCTGATTTGGGCATTGTGATTGTAGATGACCTTAACGTCAGCCCAGGAACAATAAAATTTTATGTGGGCTGAAATTCATGTGATGCCTTTATTACCAACCATATGCGCGTAGATTTAACATGCTTGTTTCACACGATCTGTCCCTGCTTATCTTTCTTTTGGCTATCTTGTCCTGCAGCTGCAAGGAACCGGTGGGTTCACACCCAAACATTACAAAATATATCACTTGTGTCTGGACTGCCGTGTCGTGACCGCTGTGTTCTGCAGTTCAACTGAACGCCCCGACATTGCACGGTAAAAATAAAATTAATACTTATAATTATTATAAATTTAATTTTTCAGACGTTCATTAATCAGAGTGCGTCACACCGGTATTTCTGGGATACATTAATGTCGTTGAATCCAGTATAAAATTTAGAAGGTTGTTAAATTGTGATATTTATGCCGCGCTATTTCTCTTATCCGAGAAAGGATTTAACTTCACGATTTGAATCCTTAAGTACAATTCATGATCTAGCGATCACTAAGAGACATGTCAAATTGAATGCCGAGATAAAATTTACAAAGTAATTTAAAGCACATATATTATTCTGAACTATAGTGGGATGTATTAAACACATAAATATCAATCACGGTAAGACCCCGGCAATTTGAGGAACGATAGTGAGCTCGTCATCACTTTTCATGTCTTTGCTTTTGCTAATTAGCGTACATCACAAATTTTGTCATGGCTTAATTTATCGCCGTGGCTTAATGATGTGTGCGCACGACCAAGACGCAGCTGATAGCAGCTGCGAAGACCGAATTTTTCGGCCTTGCAATAATATAATATAAATTTAAGCAATAATATATAATTTTATATAAATTTAATATTAATTCAAGTACTTATATTAATTTAAAAAATTGCAGTTATATTAATTAAAGCAATAATATATGAAAGATTAGTGACTGTAAGCTAGTCAATCTGCATACGTTATTGCTCATTAAATGTTAAGATAGGTTCTGGATATTATTCTATTCCAGCTCTAATATAAATTTAGGCAATAATATATAATTTTATATAAATTTAAGCAATAATATACGAAAGATGAGTGACTGTAAGCTAGTCAAATCTGCATACGTTATTACTCATTAAATGTTACGATAGGTTCTGGATATTATTCTATTCCAGCTCCATAGTTCATCGGCCAATGACGAACAAATGAGACAGTAAAACAGTGAAGAGCGTTCCCAGTAACTTTAATTTCGGTGACGCATCGCTGAGAGGCAAAATTTATTATTATTGTTATTTAATAATAATAATATATTGATGTGAAATTTGCCTATAAATTTCAGTGTATAGTGATAGGAACATGTTGGTGTTCATGTTTGCATGTCTTCTCTTTTCAAGTGATAATTTAGTTGAATAAAGCTACATTCTAGCCAACCTTTGTTTGAGACCTACAAGACTGTTAGGTTCATTTTATATGTTTTATTACTATCAAAATTATTTTCAAACTTAACCGTAGCCTGTGAACAGCTGTTTTAATTTTAGTTGAAGGCATCAGGATTTGCTTCTAATATTGAAAGTGAATCATTTTTGACATATGTAGTTATTACGAAGTATAAAATGAATTACTAAATAATTCTTAAATAGTTTTCGATTTTTTTCTACAACTATTTCTTCAGTCTGTAGTTTACTTAGTTAGTATGAGGTACGTCTTTAATACAGCTAATTAGCTTGCTATTTATTTATTGAAGATTAAACGAAAGTTGAGTTAATTTTACAATTAATATATTAATATTTCAACTCGATAGGCGAGTTCCTCTTACGATAAAAATATTAACATGCTAATTCGATAGGATAGGTTAGTTCATCTTATAATAAATATATTAATATATCAACACGATTGATCAGTCAACGTATAATAATTTTATTGAAATTAACACAAGATGTGAATTATCCCTACATGGAATATCTTCATTGATAATTATATATAGTCTGGATTATAGTCGAAGAAGGGGTGAAGTCAGATCAAGTGCGAGGTCAAATTAATAATCTAATCCTTAATCCAAATTAATTAATTAGGATCCTTAATCCAAATCCTTAATCCAAATTAAATTAGTCAAATTAATCATCTAATCATCTAATCCGCTAATCCTTGACAGAAAGTCCGGCAGCTCTACAAGAGGGGAAGTATTGAAGGCGACGATGTACATAAAACCTGCACACATCATCTTAATGCTGGCGGGTGAGTTGGACTTGTTTATTATTACATTATTTTCAGTACCAAACGTAATACATGAATAGTAGTACCCATTTAATCCATGGGTTGGTAATACACACGTAATATAGGAATAGTAGTACCCATTTAATCCATGGGTTGGTAATACACACGTAATACAGGAATAGTTAGTACCCATTTAATCTTTGGGTTGGTAATACACACGTAATATAGGAATAGTAGTACCCATTTAATCCATGAGTTGGTAATACACACGTAATATAGGAATAGTTAGTACCCATTTAATCTTTGGGTTGGTAATACACACGTAATATAGGAATAGTTGTACCCATTTAATCCATGGGTTGGTAATACACACGTAATATAGGAATAGTAGTACCCATTTAATCCATG